CACACACACACAGACCTCACATACTCACTGCACTAAAACAGTACCGAAAGTCAGAAGGCATCAAAAAAATAAATCAAGATAATGGTGAAAGTAAGGTAAGTGGGAATACAGAAGATCTTAGAAAGAAAGACCTGCCAGGCCCTCCCTGCAGCATGAGTTCGATCCCCAGTCACGGAGGTGACCCACAAGGTGTGGTAGACCTCTCCTGTCCTTTCCACCACTCCCTTCAGCAGTGTGTTCCAGTCAATCTGCCTGTTCTGCTTCCCGCTCTGTCTCTGGTGAATCCCCTCAAACCCCTCCCCCACCCCGTACCTCTGGCCTGTACCCCAGTTCTTGTATGTATAAATAAATCTTTAAAAAAAAAAAAAAGAAAGCCCTAGAACGAACTACAGAGGAGTTTTCACACAAATTTTCACTTTTACATAGCAAATAAGAGAGAAATGCATGAAGATAAAGCAATCAAAACCTAGTCAAGCATAAAAGCTGACCACGGGGTTCTTCCCCATCACTGCATTGCAGCCCAGTCTAGTCTAGAATGCAGGAGTCTCCAGATGCAATGAGCCAGCCAACAGGCACGCTTACAGCACCTCCGCTTATTTTCAGATTTGGCTGCACAAGGCTCACTCTGGTTTCACTAGAGGGAGCACTTCCTCCAAAAAAATGTGGGGGGGTAGGGGTGAAGGAAAAGATCCTAAAGATGACAAAGCACCCTTGCAAGGCAAGGTGCTAAATGTTTTCAAACTCACAGTGTAAAGCAAAGACTAGTTGAAAAGTGACAAGTAGAAGTGACAAGTGAAAAGTAAAAATAAGCAACATAAAAGTTAGAAGAGGCACATTAACCACTCAACACATCTACCGTGGAAGGTCAATAGCAAACACTGCTTAAGACAAAGTCACTTGGTGAGAAAACACAGACCTGTAACAGCCTGACTTTATTACTCAGCTTAAAACGATTAATTGTAATTTGTGAAAATTCTGGCTTCTGATAAATACTACTAGCAAAGGAAGTTAATAGATATCACAAACTTCAGCTGATATACTGTACTTAACGATTTCATTACTAAGTCATTGGAAGGCAAATTAATACAAGAAGATAATAACTATTCTCTTGTAAAATTCTGAAATGTACTTGCACATCTTAGTAGCAAGGAAGTAGGGGGACAGGGAAAAAAGGGGGTTAACATTAATTGGGTGCCTATTCTGTGCCAGGAGCTCTCCACCTAATACAACATCCCTGAGAAGCAGAATTACTATCTCCATATGACTTAATTACTATCTCATATGACTTAAGAGCCATAGTGACTTAGGGCTTAGATCAGCCACACCAGTAAACGATAGAATAGGTTATCACCTAAATATTGCTGATTCTACCATCTGTGACATTAAAATTAAAAAATTATGGACTGCTTAATTCATCTGGCATTTTGGTCATCTTAAAAATAACAAACTTTTTTCCATTAAGGTTATATTTATATCGTGGTACAATAAACAAAGCAACAACATAAAATACAGCTTATTATCCAAAATCTAATTGAAGAAAATGTACTCACACACAAACACACGCATGCACGCATGCACGCATGCACACACGCACACAAGCACATGCTACGGAGCGCAAAGTCACGGTCCACTGCTAGTTAAGGGCGGCAACCTCTAGCTGATAGGGGAGCTCAGAGGAGCTGGGCATCAGGGTAGTTTCAGCAGTGAGGAAAGACCTTGTGAAAGATGCAAGGTTCCAGCTGGATCCTGGGAATGGAAAATCTCTTGGCCGGCATGAGAAAAGGGTATTCCAGGATGGGGAAAAGCAGAGTTCAGGATGAACACGATGTAACCGAGAAACAAGGAAGAGGCCAGCATGACTGCTTCTGGCAGAGAAAGACTGAGTGGAAGCAACCCACGTGCCCACCAACTGCTGAATGAACAGACCCACACAATGGGATACCATGCACCGATAAACAGGAAGTACTGATAGAAGCTACAAGCTGGATGGACCTTGAAAACACTCTGCTAGCTACAAGAAGACCACAAATTGTGTATACATTTATTTATTGACTTGTCCAGAATAGGCAACTCCGCAGAGAAAAATCCAACACTGGAAAGTCCCCAAGCCTAGGAAAGTTGAGAAAGGGGGGCCTGGAGAGCCCTGGCTGCCAGTGGCTGTAGGGTTCCTTTTGGGGTTGATGAAAATGTTCTAAAATTGACCATAGTCATGGTTACACAAGTTTGAATACACAACAAGCCACTAAATCCTGCACTAAACAGGTGAACTGTATGGCATGTGAACTATACCTCAGTGGAGCCTGGAAACAGAGCAAGGGCTTGGTGGGGCTGGAATCACTTATGCCAAACTCTAAGGGTCTGGAATTAATCTGGAAGGCAATCAGAGACGCTAGAGTAAGGATTTACTTAACGAAACGCAGGATGCATACTTACGCTCTTTTCTAACAAAACTGTGCACATGTTTTAAGCACATTCTGAATATATATGCCAAAATCGCAACGAAGAGGGGGAAGAGGAAAAAGATGTTATGATGTGATTTTGACTAAGCCACAAGCTGTGACTATTAGGAGAGTTGTTTTGCTTCAGTGCTAAATGCCACAGATGGGTACATCAGCATCATATTTATGCAAAACTACAAATTCATCTGTGTCAAGCCTTCCAATACCATAATGTTCTCAACTTAATTATGAAAATAGCATTAATAATTGGTCTCCATACTTTAGAAGATAATGATCAGAGTAATTTCCTTTTGATTGGATGAGAGTGCTCTGTAACATTGCTTATTTCAATGTGAAAGTCGCTTTAAATGCTTGCAGAACCTCCACTCATCTAAGGCATTCCCCACAGTGACTTACACATTTATTTAACTCTGAATTCTAATGCAGCATACTATTCAAAAATGGTTTTAATATTTGAAATAAGAGCGCTAGGGAAACATTTGACATATAAAAGGAGAGAAAAGGCTGGATATTAAATATCCAATACAGAGGGAAGGTGAAGCACTCAAAAATGAACCCTCAAAATCATACAGGGGGAAATAAAGCAGGATCCAGTAGTAATTAGAAGAACAAATTTTAGCAATTAGAAGAACAAATTTTAAAAAAGGAAAAAGAAAAATTATATTTAAAACAAAAAGCTCAACAAATGAGCACAGACAAAGCTTTAACAGAGGCAAAGTTTGAAACAGGTCTAAGAGACAACCCCACAGTCTCCCCTGCACCCCAGAGAAGAAAGAACCTTTCAGGCAGTCTTGGTGTTGTGCCTTCAGGTTGACCTCCAGGTGAAATCCCACTTTCCCCAGGAGGTGGTGAGATGGTAGGAAGACAAAAGAGGAACTCAGCTGCAGAAGCCACGCACAACCAAGCCAGTGTTCCACGCTGAGCCACCCCTTAAACCTCCTTCAGGGGAGATGAGCCACAAGAAACTAAAGAAGACATCGGATCTCTTGAAACTCTCTTGGCTAAGAAGAAGACCCATCTCTCTGTGTGAGGGCTTTGTAGTTCTAGAAATGGATGAAATTATGTCCTGTGTCTGAGAAATAAAGATCACTTAGTCAGCCTTGCTTCGCTCACAAGCTATAAAAGCAGTAAAAATACAAAACAGATAAGCTAACCTAAAAATGAAGCCTTGTCATGGACATCTAGAAGGTATCTGCTGTCACAGTAAGTGGAGCAGGACTCTCCAATTCCTCATTGTAAGCCAGCACTTACACCTTAAATAAAAAACTCGACAGGAATAAGTAGGAGCTTATTTCAAATCATCATTTACTGTGTGTTAAATAAAAGTTATACTAACTTTCAATAACTGTACAATAGGTTATTCTGTATGTATATACCTAAAACATATACTGCTAATTCACACATAAATGAAGCAGTTTTCTCACAGTAAATAAGTATAACGATTAACACACGTTACCAAAAAAGGAGGGGAAAAAGCAGCAACATAATGTCTAAGATCCAAAGACAGTTGAAGTGACAAGTATTGGAAAGAAAGTTCGCTGACAGCCTGACTGCAGTAAGAGAGACTCAAGATGCCACGAATGGGCTAAAAAAGAATTAAGAAAATGGAAGTCATGGAGAAAAGACTTCTTTAGACAAGATTATTTGGTGAATTAACATGGGACTAGAAACATGGTTTACAAACAAGAGAGGAGAAGGAGAACCTTGCTGGCAGCAAAACAGGCAAAGCAGACCTGAGCTACGGAACGGGGGATGCCGGGAATCCTGGAGAAAAGTAACCCCAGTTTCCAAAATCTCATTCTGTGGAAACAGAGATGAAAACAAACTGGCCAAAAGGGGGAGCAATGTTTCACAAGTCGAAGAAACACTGGAAGACAAATGTACCCAAAATATCTTAGGAAGACTTCTGTCTCCCATGTATCAGTGTTCACTTCATTCACTTGTAAGCAGCTAAATCCACAACACAATTTTAAAATAATTGAGAGGAATCTTAAATATTTGCAATAACCATTTGCTTTAAAAGTAACTCTGTTGAGCTGGTAAAATGAAATTTAAATGCAAGAATGCTCACTCAAATTAAAAAATCCCTCAGGCAAACTTAAAAAGCTCACACAGCAAAAACAATATTAAACAGGGTATCCTGAACAGCAAATTAAGCCAGCTTATCTGTGTATGTTTTTCTATATAGGAAATAACATGCAATGCTCATACTGTACAATTAACAAAATTAATTCGGGGATACTCAAAGTCTCGTCTAAACTTAAAGGACCTTATGTGAGAACAACCAAAGTAAAAAAAAAAGAATGATCCAGCTTAACCATTCCTGTTCCTCCTGCTCCAAAAGTTAGATATCTTATTTCAGTTCTTGAATTTATAAATCCATACTTAAATCTTCATTTATAACACAACTAAGTGCCAAAGAATGCAAACGGACTCTGGTTCAACTGGTTAAGTAAATCCGAACATAACATTTCAGAAAGCATTTATAGAGGCTGCCACCCGCGGGGAGCAGCAATTTCACAGAAAGACTTTAGGAAATACCTGAGCAGGTAAACAGCCCTTTCAATATCGCTGAGGTCTTCATCAACTGTCAATCTTTCTATTTCTTCTGGTGTCTGTCAAGTGTAAAATACCAATTATGCATACAGACATCCCACCATTCTTGCCCCCAACTGCCCCTCCAAGGACCAAGTGTGAATATAAGCTAATGAAAAAGTTTCACAATTAAGCCACCTCAGCGAAAACTAATTCAGGGTCTTAGGAGGCTCTAGGAGCTCAAACACAGAGGCCTCTACTTGTCTCTAATTGTGGAGTTTAAGGAGTGGAGTTCCGAGTTTGGCCTTTGATTTTTTGGGTTTAACTCTTCGACCTTCACAGTGGAGCTTCAGAGCCTTCCTGAAGTCATTTTATAGGTATATATAAACTATCCACACTCTTTTTATCTATAACCCTTCAAGGCTGTTTCTCCAACCTAAAAAGGGGAAGGATGAAGATGCAACCGAACCAAAGGGGAATGAATGAAAAAGACGAAATCTGGAGG